GCCCGAATGGGCAGTTGGCCATTTGGTGGTTACCAATTGACGCAATTTGCAATGGCAAAGTCGAGCAACAACAAAACAAAGCGCAACACGAATTCGATGGGAGTTCAGCTGGCTTTCGGCTGGGCAAGGCGAGGTCCTTTGTTTTGGCCAGATGGCAAACATGTCTATTCACTGAAAACTCCAGCCTACCTGGGGCTGTACCAATTAGCTTGGCTTTATGCCTCCGCTCACAAGCAAGTCAACGCATTTTTGTCAATGCCTGCAAACGGCGAACTCGAGTCAATTGAGTTATGGGCCTTCAAAAGGCGCGATTCAATGTGTGTGCATTGTGGAAAAGTCAAATAGAAGCACTGAAATACTGATGCTCTCTAATTAGTAAGTCATTTAAGCTGGCCTTTGAAGAGATTTGTTTCAGGTAAAACACTTGCAGTTGTTATTGATACAGGAAATTTTATAATGAAGAGGTTTTGAACTGGATTTATTAGTCCAAATAGACAGATCAATGGGTTCGGTGATGAGCATGATTCATACATCTATATTCTTCTTTATCCTATATTCTTTTATCACCTCCTTATGTAAGAATATGATCGCATCAGGAACATTTCCTTATGCTAAGAACATATTTCTAGCACTATAAAAAATACACAAACTTTTACAACAGCTCCACATACATGTATATGAGAACTTGGTGCCTCATCAGACTTAAATCTCTCTGGTTGATTTACTGACCTAGATCGAGTAGAAGGAGTGGGCCATTTGATAGCCAAATTTGCTTGGCTCAAAGCACACATTTTTGCTTTTACCATAAAATTCCTTTGGCCAATGCAAAGCTAGCATCTGGTGGGATCCATTGTCTGTAGTCGATTGTCAATTGCAGTGGTGCCTGTTTCCTTTTACCCACAGCAAATACCAATCGAGGAAAACCAACCAACACACACGCACACACCTACTCACACAGATAGATAAACCACCATGAGAGAGACAAGCCAGCACATAAACTTGTGCTTAGACCAAAAGATATTTGTTTGCTCTTCGATTCGCCAGTTGACATCTGTGTTTATTTATTTCCATTGCTGCCACGCTCCCGAGGGCAGCGCCGTGCAAACTTGAGCCGTCTATGGCAACCGAAAAATTTCATTAAAATGCAATTGAACTTTGGCAGCTTTCAGGAGAATTCAATTACTTTATGCTACGTGGCCACACGGGACACGGACGAGTGCAGCAAAGTTGCCACAGTTCGCCGAAAATGAATGATGGCCTTGTGTGGCAACAACTCCCATGGATCGTATATGGCATTCAGTAAAGTTTTCGCCAGCTTAACTGCTTCGACTTAATGACTCTGAAGCTTCCACTCAGACAACTACTTGCGGTGGGTTATAAAAGCGCAACAAAACGGCGGGGTGGTTCAAGGTTTTCGAATTATTTTAATCAGAAAAGTAAACGAAGCGCGGGAGAGAATATATATAGAACTTGAGTTCATATATAGCAAAAAATCGAACTGCAGCTCACTTAATTGCTGTCAAGTAGTTTTCAAATTGAATTTAAAAAGATATTCAATGGCAACGTGTTGGCAAGTCAACGCAAAACAAATAATTTTGCTGTACATGAGCAGCCATGAGTCCAGCACGTGCTTGGCATAGCGAAGCAGGCTGGAAAATCCGTTAGTTGAGTGCAGCAAAAGTTAAAGAGTTTAACTAGCCAAAGAGAGAAACAAAACCTGTTTACTGCGCTATGCTGTTAAGAGGAAACAAAGAAGTATTATACAAGTTTGAAAATTGTGTTCCGGCGGAGCAGAGAGTAGAGCACTAAGGCCTTAATTCATCAGCAAGATGAAGAACCTTTGGGCAGCTTAACTCAGAGATTCTT